CCTGAGCTAAGGTAACGTCGGGTGATGAACAGGAGGAACCCACAGAAGGAGTGTGAGGGGCAGTCTTAGCATGCACGTCGAGGGTAGGATGTGCTTTGGCCTCTGTGGAAAGGGCAGCATTCATTAGCTAGAAGCCTAACATCAATCCTGGGGTGCTGAGGCCACCCACAGTCGCGCCTGGGGGACACCAAGTGCAGACCCAGGCCTGTGCCCTGCTTGTTTAGGTCCCCGCAGTGGTGGAATCAAAGCTGGCCACACTTTGAAGAGGCTCCTGGGTGAAATGGAACCATGTAGGCAAAGTGCCCAGGATGGTGAATGTCCTAGAAGTAATGTCAAGTGAGGGAGGACCCTGCCCCAGGAACAGGGCTGTGAGCAAGCATGGGAAGATCGTCTGGGGAAGCAGAAGTGTTCTGCGAGTGGAGGAGGGGGGCGTGGCGGGCTGGAAGAGGAGAGGCAGGGAGTCAGGCAGCCAGGTCCATCCCCAGCGGGAGTGGGTGCTCTCAGGGAGCAGTGAGCCAGGAGGAGGCTGGACGCATCCTCCAGGTTCTCTGACGCTGGGCTGTCATCATATTGCCAAAGCAGCCTGCATTCACTGCAGAAACTCTAAAAAGGAGAGATGAGCATGTTTCCGTCCGACAGGCAAGTGAGAGCACTGGGAAGCCCCAGGGCTCTGGGGGTGCACGTCAACACTCCCAGACTTTGGAGCTCCTGTTTTAGGGCGGGAAGACCTGGCTTGTGGTGAAGGTGATGAGGGAAATAAACCCTTGTAGAAGCTAAAGGTGAGTGGGGGCATGTCGTCAGCTCATGCCTCTCGGAGGAAGTGGAGGAGCGGAGACCACAGGCCAGAGAAGACCAGCCAGCCGAAGGCACAGGCGCTGGGGACGAGAAGGGTCCCGACACATGGGGACAGGAAGGAGGGCGGGGTGAGTGGATGTGGTGAGCACTGGTGTTAAGTGGGCAAGATGAGGAGCGGCTCAGGCCAAACCAGGTAGGGTTTGGGATGTGACGGGGACAGGGAGGTGGCTCGCCAACATCACCCTGCCCGCTGTGTAGGGAGCAGACCGTGAGGAGGGTAGGTGGTGGGGAGAACTGGGCCAGACCCAGCGACGTGCTTTCACGAGGGTGGCGTCGGGGGAGATGGTGAGAAGCCATGGCTTTGGGATGTACTTGGAGGAAAACTGATGAGAGCTCCCCGGAGAGCACCTGGTCCAGCCTCCTGCACGGAGCTCAGACACACCCGGGAGCGAGCACGCTGTCTTCTGACTCCGTGGGTTAGTGTGCTGTGACAGGGAGGGGTCTGCAAACTCCAGGGTCTCGTCCCTAGCAGCTGCCTAGGGCCGGTGTCCTACCCCCAGTTAGGACAGGCTGAGGGACGAGGTGTCTGAGCAGCTGAAGCCCCCTTGCAGGCACGTGAAGTTGAGTTGCCTGTTGGACATTCAGGTGGAAACATCAGGTGAGCAGAGTTCAGGTCAGGAGCTCGGTGGGCACAGGTCGGTGTGGGATCGGTGGGCATTGCCGGTAGTGGGGGCCGTGTGCAGGAAGAAGGTGAGGTTGGAGCCCCAGCCCCAGCACCGGCTTGCAGAGTAAGTGAAGGAAGGAGCCATGGAAGAGGGGTTGGCAAAGAAGAGAGACTGACCCACTGAGGCAGGGCCGCTGGGCTCCATCCAGTGCTCCCAAAGGTCAAGCCAGATACAGCAGGGGGGTGACCTTGGGTTTATCCACTTGATGACGTTGGCAAGAGCGTGAGAGTAAAGGCCGGGCAGAGGACGTCGGCGGGAGAGCAGAGGGACAGTGCGGGGTTTGGACAGTTACAGAGCAGAGGTGGGTAAGGCCACCCACAGACCTTCCAGCCCGTCTCTCCCTCCCACTCCTAACGTGGGCATGTTTACCTGTGCATGTGGGTATCAACTTTTGAAAACAGAACTCGATTACTCTGTATGCATTATTTTGAAATCTGCTTTTATTAACCAGCCAATATTTGTGGCCACCTGCCTCGTGCCAGGAACGGTTTCGGGCGCCCAGAAGGGGTAGTGAGCACAGGCATCTCCATGTTGGTCCCAAAGCCGGCACGCTGGTGGGGGGGCCAGACGGGAATTACACTCGTGGGAAGGTAGGGTGTGGGAAGGGATTGTGTGGCCTGTGGAGTTGAGCTGGGGAAGGGAGGGGATGAAGCAGCAGAGTGGGAGATGCCCCAGGCATCACAAAACATTATTTCATGTCATAAAACATTTTTCTGTCACGAACTGCACGTTGAACCTGGGTCATAAAAAGGCCCCTGAGGGGTCAGTGAGGCTGCCATGCTTTGAGGAGCTCACCCACAACATCCTGCAGCCTCACCTCATTGAAAAGCTGGGTGCACACATGTGCGCTAGCTGAGCTACGGGGGGCGCCAGGGGTCCACTCGGTGGGATCCAGAGGGCCCCTCTGTTTCTCAGTTTTGAGGTTTTGAATAAAGTGGGTCCACACGTGGAGAAAAGTAACTGGGAATGTTAAAACAGACAAAAGTCCGTGGGGATTAAACGCAATCTGAGCTGCAGACTTTCCCTAGGGTGGGAGGAAAAGGCAGATTTGGCTGGAAAACAAGTCGCAGGCAGGGGCGGGGCTGAGTACAGTGATGGAGGAAGGTGCACAGCGGGGAAGCCACCTCCGTGGAAGGCACTGCGGGGGGGGGGGGACGTGGTGAGCCCTGGGGACGCTGGCTGGAACGAGGGAACCTGTGCTATGCCGAGGAGGTTGGAGACCAGGAGAAGGCCAGGTGGGTGCTGGGGGGAACATGAACAGGGCATCACGGACCGTGGTCATGCCCCAAACGAAATAGCCTAAGCCTGTGCCCTAACTGTTCTTGCTGGAGCCTGGGTCAGAAGCACCACCACCAGACAAATGTGCCCTCTGTCCCCTGTGGCAAGTCACACCCCAGGAAAGAGCTGCTCAGCTGCCATGGTGACACATGCCCACCCCCCCCTGCCCCGGAAAGCCGACAGGTGCCACCTGCCTGGGGACGAGTCTGAGCTCCATCAGGGCCATGCAGGAGCACCCCCGCTCGCGCCTGGGGGTGGGCCCCGTTCAGTCTTACGTGATGCCTTTCCACATACCAATCACACCGGAGCGCTAGCCGCGATGCACATACTCACAAACCGACGAATTTTGGAAAGGCTAGTTGTGTTGTTAGGATTTACCCAAATTAAAAAGTACTTGTTCACATTTCAAATAGTGTTCTTGAGGACTCACAGGTTTCAGCTGAGGCTAATGGTGGGACAGGTCTGCAGGTGGGTCTGCAGGAGAGGACAGCTGTGGCCTGTGGACTGTGCGTCAAGGGACGAGGCTGCCAGGCCAGGAGGGATGGGGCATGCTGGAAGGGCCGTGGGGCTCCTGGGCGGGCGGGTGGAGGCAGAGTGGAGGGCAGAGGATGCAGGCCAGCGTGTGCAGCTGGGGATAATGCGTGAGGCCAGACAGCAGTAATGGAGAGGAAGGAGCACACCCCAAAGCCACTTGGAAAACAAGCCCGAGAGAACACAAAGACTGCGGGCTCCTGGCCGGGGTGGCTCCCAGGCCGGGGAAGGCTGACGGGCAGCACATGGGGGTCTCAGCCTCAGGTATGGCGAGGGGCACACCATCCGCACCACCAAGATTGTTGGCGCTGGGGCTCCACGTTTTGACAGAGCCCAGATGAACCGCGCGTGGAAGTGGGCAGCGCTGGGCTGCAGGACAGACAAGCTGGGCATGCATGCGGGTGGTGGGGGCCCCGGGAGCTCCACGGCAGGGACACGGCTGGGTGCAAGGAAGGTGTGCTCAGGGTCCTAGCTGATGGCGGGCAGTGGCCCAAGTTGGGACACAAGTGTTCCAGGAGGATTAGCCGAGAAGGAAAAAGACTTGGAAGAGAAATCCTGCTTCTTCCCAGAGAGGTCTTTTTGTTAATGGCATCCTCAGACTTACGTGCAGCTATGGACAGCCCGGAGCAAAGCAAACCTGGCCGAGAGAGGAAGTATTAGAACCTTGGACAGGGAAAAACTGATGATGGGTCGTCAAATGCGAAAGAGGAAGCTAGAAAATTGTTTATGTCATTAACTTATAAAAAAAAACTGATGTTTTTGGGGGGGGCTTACTCAGGAGAATGGATTTGGCAGTTCTGCCTGGAGAACTGCCATCAGGTGGGTGTTCTTATGTTTTATTGCTACTTGTAGGAAACCCATCAGGTGGGTGTTCTTATGTTTTATTGCTACTTGTAGGAAAATCTGTATCATGGAGAAGCTGTTTGGCACGACCGTGCGTGTGTTCGTGTGCATTTGAGTGTAACACAAAGGGGCGTTCACTTTTCTCCCTAGGTATACAGATGGAGGTACCTAGGTAATTTTCCATTGGTGAAAAGCCCTTTTGGTTAAAATATACACTTCTTTGGATATTTTTTGAACTGGCAGCACATAGGCCCTTCTCATCTACCGCCACAAGCGAGGGAAAACACTGTCCGAGTTAAAGATGCGTCCTCTGTCTTCACGTTTCCCTCCGAAGTATGTGTCCGCGTAGTGCGGGAAGTGTCTTCTCTGTGACAGATGTGCTCATCAGATGTGGACTCTGCACTCTTTCTCTAATACCCACCATGCTGATGGTGTGTGGTGGGTGCCGGGAGGTGGTCTGGAGAAGGACAGGGAAGGAACCGCCTGAGGCCAGGGGCACTGAAAGGCCAGCCCTCTTCAGCCTCAGGGCAGCGGCTTGTGGTCCTCCCCCAAAGGTGCATGGGCCATGGTGCGCACCATCCCCGTCTTACGTGGTATGTGAACGTGGCTCGTATTTGGGCTGTCTGGTGTCGGTCTACCAGACTAGACCCACTAGAACCCCGGCGGCCAGGCACAAGAGCGTTCAGGGCCTGGCCCGGGTTTTGGAGGGTCAGTGGTTTAGCCATTGTCCTTGCCGCTCCGGGCCTGACCGATGTCCCATCTTTTTTTTTCTTGCCAGGAAGACCCCCATGTGTGCCCTCAACCTGTGACTGACAGGGACGCGCCAGCATGGCGGGGAGCATGGCCGACAGCGCCAACCACCTGCCCTTCTTCTTCGGCAACATCACCCGGGAGGAGGCGGAGGACTACCTGGTCCAGGGGGGCATGAGCGATGGGTTGTACCTGCTGCGTCAGAGCCGCAATTACCTGGGCGGCTTCGCGCTATCGGTGGCGCACGGGAGGAAGGCGCACCACTACACCATCGAGCGTGAGATGAACGGCACCTACGCCATCGCGGGTGGCAGGACACACGGCAGCCCGGCCGAGCTCTGCCACTACCACTCCCAGGAGTCCGACGGCCTCGTCTGCCTCCTCAAGAAGCCCTTCCACCGGCCGCCCGGGGTGCAGCCCAAGACAGGCCCATTCGAGGACCTGAAGGAGAGCCTCATCAGGGACTACGTGAAGCAGACCTGGAACCTGCAGGTGCGCCCCCGGTCCCGGGCCAGCCGCGTCTCCCCGCTCAGCGGCGCAGGCCAGAAGTGCCCAGCTGCAGGGGGGCAGCTCCCCTCCCTGGGGTCACCGTTGAGAGGGCGGCCCTCCTGCCAGCGATGCGGGTCACCCAGTCACCCCGCTCACACAGGGCCCCCGAGACAGCCCTCTCGGGTGTCTGGTGTTTTTATGCCCCCGAGGGCGTAGCTCTGTTCAAGCTGATGGGCTCTTGATTCTATAGCTTCCTAACGTGTCTGCAGCAGAACGTTCTGGGTCAGCACGCATGTAGCTGCAGCAGCCCGTGGGTGGATGGCTGCCTGACATTCCCTCCCGCACCCCGTCGCTCACCTGCCTGGTACCTGGTGGTGGGCACTTAATGCCACTCGGAACTTCCCTCTGCCCATCGTTCCCAGCCTCTGGGCAGGATGACCCCCAGTACGTTGGGCTGGCCCCAGGGATGGTGCATGGGTTTAAGGAGTACACGGTGACACGTTGTCATCCGGAAAGGCCCCAGGGCAGGGTGGCGGGGGGCAGCTCAGTTCCTGCCACACTCTTAACAGGCCCTGACGTCAGGAGCCACCGGGCTGGTTGAGGGTCTCCTGCGCGGACCTGTGTGTTCAGACATCTCTCTTGGGTTTCCTGTTCTGTCACAGATGTGTGACAGAACAGGCTTTTTGAGGATTTTACACAGGGACTGCTTTTCCCTCCTCAAATGGGGTCTACAGGAGTTCACCCTTGCAGACAGATAGCAATACCCTCGTCAGCAGTTGTCTTTAGTGTTATTAGATAGGCCTTAGACCATCTTTTTACCTTTTTTAAAGTCAGATCAGATTTATGGAGTTGTAATTTATACAGGGTAAAATTAAGCTTTTTAGATGTACAGTTCTGTGATTTTTGACCAATGCAGAGTGCCACGTAGGTCCCACTGCAGTCAAGATAAGTTGCCCCCCCAGCCCCCAGAGCTCCCCCCACCTGCTTTCTGTCCCTACAGTGTTGCCTTTTCCAGAATGTCATCTATGAACAGATACACACGTCCCCTCGTTTGGACTCATTATATTTTTATTTTTACTTCTTCTTGTCCTTTTTTAAGGTCCAATAACCCAACACGGGGTCTGCATTTACAGCCGCGGAGAATACCTCTGTTTCTCCCACTAAGCTCGGTCAGGAGGGGACCTCACCCAGCTGTCAGCCCCCTCCCGATTTTGTTTTCCATGTTGTCACAATTCATGTCCTCTGTGCCCTGTGGCCACATCTACAAGAACGGGCAGCAGAGTGTGGGCGCTGGGAGGAGGCCTTGGTGGGCAGACGGGAAAACTGTGTCTCCTTTGTGGCACGCACCCTGGGGCTGCTGAGCTGTAGGGGGAGGGGCATCGGGTTCTGATGCAGAACCATCAGTTTAGTGCAGGGGGCAGGAGGCCTAGTCTCTGGACCTCAGGGATTGTGCCAGATGGTTTCTAAAGCCCCGTCCGGCTTCAAAAGGCCAACCTCTAAACTCTACGTTGTTACTTATATACTCAAAGGTACTTAAATCATATATAAGGAGCTTACAGTTTTATTTATGGTGAATGAATGAATGACAACGTCAGGACTCAGGACATATTAGAAATGATCCCTGCGTCTTTTTCTCATTTTTACTTAATACTGCTCTGCTCCCTTCTCGTGGCAGGGTCAGGCTCTGGAGCAGGCCATCATCAGCCAGAAACCTCAGCTGGAGAAGCTGATCGCCACCACAGCCCACGAGAAAATGCCGTGGTTCCATGGGAAAATCTCACGGGTTGAATCTGAGCAAATTGTCATGATAGGATCCAAGACAAATGGAAAATTTTTGTAAGTATGGTGTCTTTTTCCCTCACCATCTACTGCTGGGCCCATGCGGACAGTCAGAGTAACTCAGCTTCCCCATTACTGGAGCCCACGTGGCCCGGGGAAGACTCACATGCTGTCATCTGACAACACGCATGTGGGCCCGCCATAAAGACGTTCCCAAAGCCATCCCTTGTAGTTGTGTGAGTTTTTCCCAGTCTGACCCCAAAGCAAAGACTTCTTGGGTACTGAGGGACGTAAGATTTAAAGAAATGTTATTTCGCCACGTGTTTTGCTTTTCGTGACAAAGACAAGATGCATAACGGTATCTGTGGTTATCCTTCAGAAGTATGAGTTGCAGCTTCACTGCAGCTCATTCAATCACAGCCCCCCCTACCCCCAAAATCTCAGGCTTTACTTCTCTTGTGTCACTTGGAACTAAATGACAGGAGGGCAGATATCAAAGAAAATGTGCTGAGCATTTGAGCGGTTTCCTGTGAAGGATGTGATCACACGCAGGTTTGTGGATGTCAAGCCTTACAAACTCAGAAATGAGGTGTGCATCCCTGGCTCTGTTCATTGTCACCCTAGCGACCAATGGATCTCAGTCCTCAAGATCCTGGGGACGCAGGCCACCTCGGGGTGGGGTCAGAGCTCACGGATGGCATGGGGCCGTCTTAAGCGGTTGTCAGCCATACCCCCCAGATGCTGTGGCCGAGCTAACACCCCGGCGCGGCTGGCGGGGGCAAGCTCACCTCTTGTCACTGCTCAGTGACCCTCCAGAACAGAGTAACCAGGTTGGCACGTGGTGGGAGCTGGGGCGGTGATTCAGTGGGCGCAGTGGCAGCCTCCAGCAGAAATCCTGCGGGAGACAGTTTTCCTTCGTGTGACACCTGTCTGCTCATTTCCTCCTGAGGTTTGGACTTTTACCATCTTCTTAGGAATAATTTGCAACACAAATGTCATGGGACTGTGCATGTAGCATCTTGGTGCGTGAAGTCAGCCCCGAGTGGTCTAACCCAAAGAGTGATCGAGGCCTCTCGCCTTCTCGCTGGTTCAGACACCAGCTCCCAGGCTCGCTGGGGACCAGCTGTGGTCAGAGCCGGCTGCCTGGTCCCCACTCACACGGGGGTCCCTGGGACAGCTGAGGGCTCAGCTGCGGGTTCCTTCCCTGGCAGCGTTCTCACACCTCATCCACGCTTTCCTATAGAATATCGTTCCTGCCTACTTTCCAGTTCTGAAGTTGCCTTACCCGTCCATGAGGCAACGTCCATTAGAACCCACAGTTGTGGGGACTGCCAGCACCATTCTGCATGTTAGAGACGGAGCCACACAGCCGTCTGCCTCCTGAGCTAGCATCCCAGTGGGGGGAACGGACACCGTATGGTAGGCTGGTGTACAGAAGGAAAGGGATGGAGCACGCCGCGGTGGGGTTATCAGGTTCTGTTTTCTGCCAAGACGAGGGGCCCTGCTTCAGGGAGACACTCGAGCAGAGACCTGGAGGCCGTGGGGAGCTGTTGGTGGGGAGCAGCATGTGCCCTGGGCAGGGCGGGCCTCAGAGCGCTGGTGGGCACCAGCAGTGAATCCGTGCACCTTCGGAAGGTGTTAGGGCGGACGTGGCTGAAGCTCAGGGGACCTGTCTGGCTGGTGGGAAAGAGTCTGTACAGAGGTTCAGGAGTGAGCACACTCAGAGGCTACTCGGTGTGCATTCATACGTGCTTGAACCAAAGTGCGATGTTCATTTTTCTGTAGATTTCTGGGCCTCCGCCTTCTCACGCCTGAGCGCAGGAACTGTGTGTGATGCTTGTTGGAAGACAGAGTGGCGTGGGAGCTAGTGTGTGGCCCTGCTCCGTGGCCCTGCTCTGTGGCCCTGCTCTGTGGCCCTGCCGCGTGGCTCTGTGCTGTGCTCCAGTTCTTCTAGGATATGGTCTGGCTGCAGTCCGCAGCCTGCTGCGTGCGCCCCACCCCCCGGTCCCCTCCCCACTGCCTTGCTCAGGGGTACTTGTTCCTGGCACGACCCCATCTGAGACCTGCCAAGGCCAGCCTTCCCTCCCTGGGGCCCCTGGAGCACCTGGCAGAACGACAAGAACCAAGGAGGCTCTCAGATCCTGAAACAGAACCTCATTTTTGTGGCTCTGAATGCTGGGCATCACGAACTGGATTTAAGATAATTTAATGCATGTCAGCATGCTGGGTGTCATGTCTAGCGCTTTGTAGATGGTTAATAAATACAGATCTTCCTCAACGTGTGATGGGTGACATCCTGATCAACCCTTATTAGGTGGAAAATATCATAAGTCAAAAATGTGTTTAATGCCCCCATGCTACTGAACAAGCACCACGGCCGAGCCTAGCCCACCCACCGTGAATGCGCTCAGAACACTTCACGTGAGCATACGGTTGGGCTAAATCATCGACATGAAGCTTATCTGATAGGTGTTGACTGTCTCATGTGATTTATGAAATGCCGTGCAGGAAATGATGGAACGGTCGGTCGTCCACCCTCCCGATGGCGTGGCTGTCTGGGGGCTGGGCCTGCCCCACCCAGCATCGCAGAGAGGACTGCACCTATGCACATCGCCCACCCCGGGGGGAGATCCACATTCAAAATCTGAAGTATGGTTTCTACCTATTTCGTATCACTTTCTCTCTACCGCTGTAAAGTTGAAAAATCACAAGATGAACCAAATCCTGAATTGGGGACTCTACAAGCTGGTTTGGGGTCTTGAACAAACAGGCAGCCGGGGCCCAGGGACGCCATTGGGCAGCACAGAAGGCTTGCCATTTCCATGTAGAGAACAACATAGAGGGTCAAATGGGGAAGTGCAAGAGTTCATTCTGGAACCTCTGATTTGCATTTATGGTTCAGTGTGGCAAGACCCCTCTCTTGGGAAAACACATGCCCTACCACCCATGGAAGACATGGATGGAAAGTCAGCATGTTTCGAAACGTGTGAGGCCTGCATGAGGTTGTGAATCTTCACCAGTATGGCTCAAGATTCAGGAGATAAATCCCAGAAACCCCCATCCACCAGTCTGGGGCATGTCGGGCGGCTGCCGACCAACTCTGGTCCAGTTTTCTCTCCTCATGAATCAGGGTGTAAAGTCCATGTGTGGGGGCAGAACACTTGGACCAGAAGGGACCTTACTGCTTGTGGGTGTAAATCCTGGATTTTCTGAAGGGGGAAGTAGGCACAGGGAGCTTGCCCACGGTTGTCAGGCAAGTAGGAGATGAGAGCCTGGATCTAGGGTCCTGAGGGGTCTGGGCTGAGGCAAGTGCAGGAACCCACTACCAGCAGCTCCCTGCTCACCCCCACTCCCCATGCAAGGCGTGACGCCAGGGCGTGTCCACGGGAAATGTCAGCTCTCCCCTGTCTGTCTCCTGTCCACACAGCCTGCTGGGACCACACAGTGGTGACTTTGAAAAGGCAGGCATGTGGGTCTTTGCATTATGCTCAAAGAATAAAGGGTATGAGTGTAAAGGTCTTTACTGCAGAGATGGACGGTGTGGGTCTACAGACCCTCTTGTGGGGCATCATCTGCAGTATTTCTAGGGATGGTTATTCATCACCTACTGTTACAGGCTGGTTGTTTATGTCCTTCCCAAATTCATATGGTAAACCCTAACCAGTGTAGCAGTGTTTGGAGGTGGGGTTAGAGGAGGTCGTGAGGGTGGGCCATGATAGGTTTGGGTTAGTGTCCTCTGGGGGAGAGGAGGCTGGAGGTGTCCGTGTGTGCATGAACCGGGGCCTGGCCCTGTGAGCACGCAGCCAGATGGTGGCACTGACTTGCCAGCCAGGAAGCAGGCTCTCACCAGACATGGGATTGACCGCAACTTGATCTCAGACTTCTGGTCTCCAGAGCCTTGAGAAGAGATGTCAGCACTTAAGCTGGTATTCTAAGACACCTGTACGCATCTGGGGTCTGGCCGGCCACACGTGAGGACAAGGACCCTCCCAGTACCCGCCCCCCCCCAGCCACGGTCCTGCGGGTAGGGGTCAGAGTTCTGCCTCCCTGATGACCCCAGGGACCAGGGCTCTGCTGGCGCAGGGAGCCCCTTGGCTTTCTGAAGCCTCCCATGATAACACGGTTTGTCGCTTTGAGAAATTAGTCACAGCTCAGGTGTAACTGAAAAATGAATTTGTTAGAAAAGATAAACAACTTATTTTCCAAAAATTACATATCCCCTCCCCCAAAGGAAGGACCCAGGATTGGTGGGGTCCAAAGCATACACAGTTTGGAGATCCTCTTTTAAAAAAATACCAAGTTAGGTACAAAACATATTTCTTAGAATAAGAAAAGAATTGCAATATATCACAGTTTTTTTAAGCTGGGAAATAGGGCAAACATACAAAATTTAGAAAACAGTAATGTAATCTCTGACCTAACTGCTTGACACTTCTCAAGAGTATCTTTTATTTTCTACGTTTTTCGACGATAATGTTTGCCTCTTCCATGGACAATAATGTAGTGATATTATTTCCTACATATGGAGAAAAGAAAACACAGTCCTTACTCTGGGTTCACCACTCATAATGCACGCACATTGTCAGGATGTGAAATCTCTGTAATGTCTCCTTCCTGAACTTAGAGGCATGCTGTTTACAGTGAGAAGCTAGGAAAGTTGTCATTCACTCAACAAAATAATTGTGCATTTTACCAGAGATGTGCTAGGCGTTATGAGAGGCGCCAGGGAGACTGTGACAAAAGGGACGGACTCTGGCCCGCAGCTCACCATGCTTGCAGGCTGGGGGCGGGTGTCCGGGTCAGAGGGATGTACTGCTAAGTGTGTGGCGCTCCATCCATTGTGGTCATCCCGTGTAAGCTCATGACACTGTTGACACCCAGGCTGCTCTTCGTCCCTTGTCCCTCAGTCCCACTTGTTCTGAATGCTATTAGTGCAGGAATGGTGGCTACCGTCTTCATGGGTGGAAACCCAGTGCTCACAGCAGGGCCTCAGCGGGGGCCCTCGTTCTGGGGTAAGGGACATTTAAATGTGCCCTGAGCAGTGAGGAGAAGAGAGT